GAAAGTAAAGATTTTACTATAGCAATTCAAGGCAGGAGCACATTTCTCTTTCTGAGGTAACTCAAAGTTAAACAGATAGTAAAATATTTTAGTCCATACCCTGAAGGCAAGTAGTTAAAGCAAAAGGAATTATCCTATTCAGATTATTTAAGATTTTTATATCTAATTATATTGCTTATAAATTCAGAATATTCTCCAAACAAAATTTTTACAAATTTAAAAGTTACAAATTTGTGTGTAGTACAAAATACTTTTAAATATTTATAGCCTTATAAGTATCTAAATATTTACTAGAAAAAATTAGATATTAGAACTACAAGTAAGTATAATTAAAAATTGATTATAAATGATGTAGCCACCATGAAAAACTGGTATGACAGTTCCTCAAAAAATTAAAGACACATTCACCATATAATTTGGCATTCCAATCCCGGAAATAAACCCAAAGAAGTGAAAGCACGGACTGAAACGAGTATGTGCACTCTCGTGTTCACAGCAGCAGCACTCCGAACACCAAAGGCGGAGCCGATGCGAATGCCCAAGAGCAAGTGATGGCTAAACAGAGCATGATACACGCGTGTGGACGATGAAATATTATCCAGCCTTAAGGAGGAATGAAATTTGGCATATCCCACATGGAACTGCTTACGTATGCTAAGAGAGATGACACAGATACAAAGAACAAACGCTGTATGATTCTATTTACGTGGAGTACCTAGACGGGTCACATTTTAGAGACAAAGCGGAATGGGGGCTGCAGGGGCTGGAGAAGGAGGAAATGGGGAGTCGCTCTCTGCTGGGTAGAGAGCTTTCGGTTTGAGAAGAAGCTCTGGAGACGAAAGGTGAAGATGGCTGACTGGGTAGAGAGCTTTCGGTTTGAGAAGATGAAGCTCTGGAGACGAAAGGTGAAGATGGCTGCAAACATGTGCATGTGCTCATTACCATAGTCCATGGAACTGCACAGTTAAAAAGGGCTAGAATGGTTAACTTTATGTTGTGTGTATTCGACCACAGCAAATAAAATGGATTATAATCGTTTTTATTGCTATATGCAAAATCAGTTACTTGAGCATTTGACAAACACGTTCATCACATTAATGCACCACAGCTTCAACTAACCTGAAAATTCCAGCCCATTTCTTAAGCAGTGTTTCATTGTATTGATCTCTTATTTCAAATAAAAGGTCAAAAAGTCGGTTCACTGGAAATCCATAACCCTAAAACACACACACACACACACACAAAGCAGATAAATAAAACACGTAAAAAAATCATAAGAAATGTTGGGAATACCACAGAATCATTCGTAAGGGATCACTGGGTCACCTCGGATGTCATTATCACAGAAGAGATACTTTTGACTTCTAGGTTGTATTAGGTAAGAAAGAGGCCTACAGAGAGTTTTATGGAGCGGGAGTCCTTTTTTCCATTTCTTCTCTTTTTTCAGTGAGTATTATTGTTGGCTTTAAAAAGCATCAGGAGTGGAGACCAAGTCTGAGGTGAGTGGTGCCTACATAGGATGCAAGGGGGGAAACATTTTGTAGGCAACGTGCGGCCTTCCTTTTACACCTTCAACCTAGCACAGACCTTGCCCTACAGGGAAAATTGACGTCTTTCTATCAAACATATGTTCTGACAAACTCACTGAAATCTTTTTTCCCTTTTTTTCCCTAAAGAGAGATTTTTGCTATAAGGTATGTGCGCTCGCTGGAGACACAGAAGGAGAGAAAGCATAAAGCCATGCCCCCTTCTCCCAGGGCATATCGCAATCCCTTTTCCTCCACAGTCTTCTTGAGATTCTGGGCATGTGTGCTTGGTGTGAGTTTCAAGCGGCTGGGTCCAGGACCCAGCAGTCTGTAATGAGTACTCGAAAAGTGAATGAATGAGTCAGTAAATGTTCACTTTGATTTGTCTAATAGGAAGTAAACAGAAGTCTAAATATGGTAGCTTTTTATCCTTACACGGGGTCAACCATGTGGAAGTCCAGCGCCTTAACCACTATGCCACCTGCTGCTCCCCTAACTGAAATTTTACTCATATCAGGATGAATATTTTCTCTCGCCTCACAGAGCTGTCTGTTCTCGATGCTACCTCCTTCTGCAGGAACTGTGCTGTAGATTATCTATTCACTCCACTATGTCTTTAACTTCCTCTGGCTCCTTTTCCCTTGGCTTAAGAAATATGCTAAGTTGTTTAGCATTAGATGTTCTCCCATCTTTAAACCAAACACATCAAATCGTCCTTTCTCAGGCCAGCTGGTGGTGTGGTATGGTTAAGACAGCTGGATTCCACAGGGCTGACTACATGGTTTGAGTGCCAGATCCAGCGGTTTGAAAAACATGCCAGGCATGTGTGTGCATGTGTGTGTGTGCGTGTGTACCCAAAATCCTGAGAAGAGAATGGAGGAAAAGGGATTGCAGTATGGCCATGTCCCCAGGGGGTCATTGTTTTTTCTTTCTCTCTCCAGTAAGCACATGCCCTCGACAGTAAAGCTTAAAAAAAAAAAAAAGAAAACAAACAAACAAACAAAAAAAACCCACTATTGCCCAGACTATAAAAATCACCATTCGAAGGTGTAAATCTGATCATATATCCCTGGTTAAAACTACAAAAGGCGGGACCAGCAGTTAGCGTAATGGCTATGTCGCTGGACTCCCATGCAGTCGACCGTGGTTCAAGCTCCAGACCTGGTGGCTTAAATTCACACTGGGCGCGTGTGCGTGCATGCCCAAGATCCTGAGAGGAGAATAGAGGAGAGGGGATTGCGGTGTGGCCATCCCCCCTGGGGGGTGATTTCTTGCTCTCTGTCTCTGTCCCTCTCTGTCTTTCTGGCGAGCACACGCGCCCTATAGCAAAAAAAAAAAACTCAAAAACAAACAAACAAAAAAAACCCCTACTATAAAAGGCATGCTGAAGTTCTCCAAGGTCTGCCTTAACTGGGCCAAACTGCCCAGCGGTTTCCATCCCACTGTGCCCCTCCTTGCTCGCGCCCATACCCGGCAGCTTCTGACACCACCAACTGCTACCCTGTCTCACACTCACCAGAACATACGGCCTGTCTAACGGTTACACATGCTAGTCTATCTTCCTTTTCTTCTTATCTACTTACTGATCTTATCCTTCAAAATCCAGCCCATATTTCAGCTTGACAGCCTTCCTCAACTACTAGCTTCAAAATTAAGTCAAGCTGCTGACTTCTAAGCTAGCTCTTTGACATACGGCTCTATCATCATGCTTCATTTAAACATCGTATTTGTTTACACCAAATTAAATGTCTTATTAAACACCTTATTTACAACTAATCTGTATTTAGTTGAAGCCAAAAAATTTTGTGCCTTTGCTGTCCTACTGACTTTTATGTCTCTAACCACTTTATTTATCAACTAACTGCTAGCCTGTAATGAGTACTCAAAAAGTGAATGAATGAATCAATAAATGTTTGATTTGTCTAATAGGGAGTAAACAGAAATATAATTATGATAGCTTTTTAAAATGTTATTGTTTTGTTTTAGATAATAAAATACTGATATCTGATAGCAAAGTGTCAATTTTTAAAATAAATATTATGGGGACCAGCAGTTAGCATAATGGCTATGTTGCTGGACTCTCATGTAGTCGACCGCGGTTCAAGTCCCGGACCCGATGGCTTAAACTCACACCTGGCGCGTGTGCGTGCGTGCCCAAGATCCTGAGAGGAGACTGGAGGAGAAGGGATTGCGGCGTGGCCATCCCCCCAGGGGGTGATTCCTCGCTTTCTGTCTTTCTGGAGAGCGCACATGCCCTATAGCAAAAATCTCTCAAAAAATAAATAAATAAATAAACAAACAAACAAAAATTATGTAACATTCTTTAATGTTTTTATTAAAAGACACCTCCAATTCTTCAACTAATATATAAGTTAAAAGGCAGCATTCATTAACGCAGAGTAAGAGCGACCTACTGCAGAACCTGCCAATGTTCAATGAAATGAAAAGACTGCAGAGTTTCTAATTAAGGAGAACTGGTTTATCTTCCTCAATCTTATTTC